GATAGGATAGGATAGGATAGGATAGGATAGGATAGGATAGGATAGGATAGAAGAACAGAACAGAATTTTTATTGGCAAAGTGTGATGGAACACACATATTCGAAAACAGAATAAAATCAATTGCAGCAAAAACAATAATGCATTAATCCCCACAGGGACTCTGGAAAAGCCAGGCAGTAGATTCTTGAGGTTGTAGATTCTTGAAGGTCCTAAGAGTAGCTCCACCCTTGTCTCATAAAAGAGAAAAATGCAGACAAATGCACCCTCTCAGTATCCACCCCCTAGTAGAAGGGGACCTTTAAGTAAGTTTTTCGTGATTTTCCAGATCAAGTATTTGGAAGTTTTCTGAGAAAGGTAAAGCCCTATTGTCTCATATTTTAGCCTCTGAGTCACCTTTGTGCAAGTTGAGTGGCAGAAAGAATGAATGAATGAAAGAAAGAAAGAAAGAAGAAAGAAAGAAAGAAAGAAAGAAAGAAAGAAAGAAAGAAAGAAAGAAAGAAAGAAAGAAAGAAAAAGAAAATGAAAATTGAAACCAAAAATAACCAGAATGGAATATATGGAATATATTGTATTTACAATCAAATCCTATTAATGCTTACTGAATAATAAACCCTGCTAAATCCAACAGATTTACTACTTTAAGTAAGTGCTCTCATGTGTTTTTAGCTTTAGTCTATTGTAGACTTACAACATTCCTCTAATGTTCCTAGATTATTCTTTTTATGAGATTGTGCTAGTCTGGATTACACCCTATTTATTGTATCTGCCTACAAAGCATGAAGTATGTCTCATTCCAATTCTGCCATTTCATCTGGGGCCTCCCCTGTTTCCGCAACCATTCATAAAGAATATGAGAAAAATACAACCTTCACTTGAGGGGGAATTCATAAGCAAGCATAAAGTACAGGACTCATGTCTATGACTCAGAAAGAAAGGTCTTTGGAAGTTGTCCCAGAGTGTGCTTTTCTTAATGCCAACTGCATAGAATCTTTCTTGGAGGAAATTGTGATCTAGGAGCTCATTAGCCAGCTGTCATCTTTATGGAGAACCCAAGCCATCTATGCATCAGAAATAATTTTTATTACCTCCTGCCAGCATTTTGGATCTCAGAGGGCAGCAGCAGATTGCAGCTGGCAAGAAGACTAAGTAACTCGTTCTTAGAGATCCATAATGAAAAGTGCTTTTTTAAAAATAAATAAATAAAATGTTTTTCCCTTGAGAATTCTGTTTTTCACTAAATGGAATCTATATTATAAAGTAAATTTCCAATAATATTAAAACCAGCCCTATTTATTACAAACTTTTTTTACTCAGCCCTTTTAGAACCTCGCAACTTTTGTGCTGCAGTATTTTATTGCTGTGTTTGTTATCCAGGGAAACATATTATTAAGTGAATAAATAAATAAACTAAGATATGACAGCCAAGGGGACATATTGTATACATATGCTCCTCTGACCAAATATCTTAGTTCAAGCAAAGCTGTTTATGGAGGATCTCGTTCATCCAGAACCGAAGAAGCTTACTGAATGGGAAGTGAAACATCTTAAAGAAAAATCAGAAAGTCCAGTTGCCTTTAAAATAAAAGTAACTTTGTGATTTCAGCAAAGCTGTTACATCACATGCCTTTTAAGGGGATATTTTGGGGACTGAAAAGATTATGAAATACATACTATCTGCTATAGATGTTGTCAGGGGTGGGATTCAAATTTCTTAACAACCGGTTCTGTGGGCGTGCCCTGATTTGTGGATGTGGCTTGGTGGTCATGTGACTTGGTGGGCATGGTTTGTATGTAAATATTGTAAATATTTATGTAAATGCTGATTTTTTTATTTAAAGAAAGAGCAACTTTTACCCCAAATGAGGGCAAAGCAGGCAGGCAGATTGAGTTGCTTGCAGAATCATAGAGTCTCCCGCAGATCTACTTCTCTGCAATCTGCTGCCTGAGTCTGCACTGAAAAATAGAATCTTCAATCCTAAGGAAGGTACAGCTCTGCTCTCAGGCCAGTGGTGCAATTTGCCAGTTCTCCTAACTATGCAGAATCGTAACAACCAGTTCTATAGAACTGGTCTGAATTGGTAGAATCCCACCCCTGATGGTAGTGCTTATTTTGTTTTACAGTTGCTATTGTTGGTGTGTTGGTCACATATGTACATCTTTGTTTGCATTTATTGTTACAAAGCTTCTTTAAACCACTGAGATTCATTCTCCTGAAGTAGCTTAAGACCACTGGTAATAAATACATATATTAAATAAATAAAAGCACAAAATATGTGTGTCAAGCACATCCTGTTTTGTAGAAAGACCATATCTATGTGATTAAAAATACATATTTTGCTCTAAGAAGTTCAACCTCTTGCAACTGGCATCTCCAATTGGGTAGGGTGAGATAAAGCTCCTATCTGAAATTCAAAATACTACCATACCAAACAGTATAAGCAATGCTGAGCTATATAGTTTGGTTCAGGGGAAAGTGTCTTTCTTTGGTTTTGTTTGTATAGTTATTTGCTGGTTTACACAAATATTGGGGGGTATTATAAGCTTTGAGGTCCAATTTATCTGGAGTGTATTGGTTAAAGAAAATAATATCTAAAAAAAGATATATATTCACCCAATTGAAAATACACATTTAAAAAATTAGAATCCAGTTTCATTATCACCTGTTTTGCCTGAAGAAAAAGTTTCTGATGAAGTTAGGAGCATCAGAGAAATGATTATCTCATAGTTTCAGCAATCAGTCTGGAATCAGGAGATCTCAACAAAAAAATAAACAAAAATCCAGATCCAACTTCCAAATCAAGAAAAGAAAACAATGAATTTAAGAAAAAAAGAAAAAGAAAACAGCCTGAATATCAGGGCAAAATATCAGTCTAAAATTAAGTGTATTGAAAAGTAATCTGATGTTCCAAGAGTAAAAAATAAAATAAAAAAAGTTTGAAGAATGTTTTGCCACAGTGGACTGTAGGTGAAAAGTGGTGGTATTTCAGTGAATCAGAATTATACTTAAAAATGTGTATTGCTTAAAATTACTTGTCAGCTGTTTGTTTAAAAAATGCTAAACTCTATCATATCTAGATGGCTATCCTTGAAATCTATACAAGCCACACTTTCAAAAGTAGTAACCCTAATCTGAACTATAGAAGGAGGTAGAAAAGCATCCACAGCAGTTAATGGAGAATGTAAATCTACTGTAAAAGAGCTCAATTTAAAATATCGTATTAGGATGCAGAGGAGAACCTGTGAGCACCCCTATACCTCCTTGCCCTGAAAAGTACTTCTGATAGTACAAGGGAATTCCAAATTCTTCTTTTGGCTCCAATATAGATGGTCCCTCCCATCTATTCCCCCTTTTCTGAAGACCAAAAATCTGATTCATTCAAGACAATGACCCATGAATATCTAGTAAATTGGTACTCAGTTGGAGCAACCAGATGCAACTGTAAGTTTCTTGATGAGGTTCATTCCACCCTTACACTTAATAAGTTCTGACTTCTTTATTACTTTTCTTTGCTGTAGAATTTCCATGTCTGTCCACAATTGTCAAGTAGACTGACATCTAAGAAACCCATCCATGATATCAATTTTTCATTCTTTCCTTGCCAGGTTTATTACCTGCATATATCTGTAGGGGTCTAAAGCAAGCGTTAGCACCAGTGATAAAGCCATAAAGTGCCATAATATATTCCACAGACACCTCCATGGTTTATACGGAGAAGTTTTAAGACATCAATAAAGTTTGAACTGCATGCTGAATTTTCAAATTCATCATGGTAGGGACGAGTCTTGTTTTCATCTTTCTTCGCAGCTTTACTCAATCCCTTAAATTATGACTGTAGCTGATTAAAAAGAGAAGAGACAGGCACCAAATGGTGTTTTTCTGCTTTTTCTTTCTCTCTCTTCACACGCACACACACATTATTTGGAAGGGAATCTTTTTCAAATCAAATATCATGCAGAAAGGCACACACTGAGAGGCAATTATCAAATTGGATGGTGTCTGAATGCTTTCCATGGGGCTGAGGGAGCAGATTACCCAGAGAAGAAGGCCATCATAAGTGTCCATGTAGCATTGCATTTAAAATGTAATATCATTTCACAGGATGATAAGTAATCATTTCATGTCTCAGTAACTCTGAAAAATAATGCATTTTGTAAGGGGAAATCCATTTTGTTTTTTCTTTAAAAAGAAAACTGCTCTGTGCAAGACAATACTTTGGACATGAGGGTCTGGAATTTAAGAGCTCCATTGTTAAACAAGGTTAATGCTGCTTTGATATAAATAAATAGGGTATTTGATATAAATAAATGGGATACACACACACATACACACACAAACACACAGGCCCTGGGTTGCACCATTAAAGTGATGCTTTATTTAATAGATCACAGGGTTTTAAATGTGGCTTTGTACACATTTAACAGGTAGTCCTTGACTTATGACCACAACTGAGCCCAAAATTTATGTTGCTATGTGACGAATTTGTTTAAGTGATTTTTGCCCCATTTAATGACCTTTCTTGCCACATTTGTTAAGTGAATCACTGCAATTGTTAAATTAGCAGCATGGTTGTTAAGTGAATCTGGTTTCCCCATTGACTTTGCTTCTTGTGCAAGGTGATCCCATGACCTTTATGATTTATGACACTGCAACCGTCATAAATATGAACCAGCTGTCAAGCATCTGAATGTAAATCATATGACCATGGGGATGCTGCAACGGTTACAACTCATAAAAGTCACTTTTTTCAGTGCCATTGTAACTTTGAATGGTCACTAAGTGAACTGTTGTAAGTCAAGGACTACCTGTACAAAGGATTTCTGGTGTTTGTCAACAATGGAATGATAATTTTGAAGAGCAAAGAACCATCTCTAACTTCATTCACACATTGAGTTTTTTGAAGTTTTTACAGGAGTGTAAATTTCCTCATAGATACAGAGTTTAATGTATTATTCTTAGCCTCTATGTTTCACTATTTCATCCAACCTAAAATTGGGAATATCTTTGCTGACATTAAATTTCAGACTATGTGTTCTCATCCAAATTGTGCCAACTCTGAATGTTGTTGAGAAACAATTCAGGCCCTGGGCATGAGAGGGAATGATGAGCCTCTCTGATAAATTGATATTATCCCAAATGACATTTTACTAAGCAGGAGAATACTACAACTTTTAAACAATTACAACGGGTAAGTCAATTCTCTTTTAAAGGAGACCTTGATTTATGACCATAATTGGACCTGAAATTGCAGTTAAGTGATGCAGTAACTAATTGGCATCATGTGACAGGACCCAATTTTGCAACCATTTTTAATTATAGTTAATAAGTAAATTGTTGCAGTCACTAAGCAAATCACACAGTATATTTTATGACTGTTAAGCAAATCTCAGTTTTTCCATTGACTTTGCTTGTCGGAGTCGGCTGGGAAAGTCACAAATCACATGATTATAAGATGCTGCAATTGTTGTAAATTTGAGTGTGTTGCCAAGTGCCCAAATTGCAATTATCTGACCAAGGGGGTGATGCAAAAGTTATAACTTGGAGGTTATGTCGTAAGTTACTTTTTTTTCACTGCAGCTGTAACTTGGAGCTGTTGTTAATTGAATTGTTGTAAGCCAAAGATGACCTGTAATACTTATTGGAATCAACTTAATTCCAATGACGCGGTTTCTAAAACTTTTTTTTAAAAGAAACTGTATAATCTTTTTTTAAAAAATTGTTTGATTCATCCTGAAATGCTTCTTGGCAGTTGATTCTAGTAAAATATTTATTATTTGGTCTAACAGATCCAAATTCTACTATTACCTTGGAATTTCCATGATTATTGAAGGCTCAAAACAATAAACTATGACTCTTAAGTGGGTAACACTTAAAAAGAACAAGAAGTTGAAATTATTATCTACTTACATGTGTCTGGAATTATGAGCTTAAATGACCTTTTAAACCTTTAAACAATAATTGAGATTAATATAAAAAAATAACAAATATTTGTTCTGTGCATTGGGTATCTTGGATAATTTTTAATAAAGTTATTGCAATTGCTTTATTCTTGGAAATACAGCTCTGTAGTTGAAACTTTAACTTATATGATTTAGACTTATATTCTTGTCTCATTTGAGGCTGAAAGCAACAATATTCAAAAGTCATATGGTTTGCATTGCAAATGACACACATTTTGTCATTTGTGCACTTCTGTGCCTCTCTTCACAGATACCTCTGCTTTGGTTTGACCATTCCACGCTAAAAGCATGTTCTTGTTAAAATGTTAATGTTCTTCTTGACTGTAAGTCCCATCTACAAAATGAAGAATTGTAGATTTTTTGAGGGGAATGAAGGTTGGTTAAAAGAATAAAAATACAGTACTGAAAGGAGAAATCTATGCTTGATTTGCAGCTAAAGATGGTTAATAAGAGTTGCCTGTCAGTATGTAAATCAGTTCCTCCACAAACACATATAGCAATAGCATTTAGACTTATATACCACTTTATAGTGCTTTACAGCCCTCTCCAAGTGGTTTCAGAATTAGCATATTGCCCCCAACAATCTGGGTCCTCTTTTCCCCCACCTCAGAAGAATGGAAGGCTGAGTCAACCTTGAGCCTGATAGGATTTGAACTGCCAAATTGTAGGCAGCTGGCTTGCAATACTGCACTCCAACAACAAAAAGGCAAAGAAAAAGATTTGCAAGCTATATGTTCAAATTTGGGGCAATTGTTCTATTTTTAACATAATTTTTCATGTCTTTCCCTCATTTATTTATTTTAATTACAGTGATTAGTTTTGAGATTGTATTGTATTATTCTATTACATGTTACACATTTTCTTATTTATTAATGAATAACAACAACAACAACAACAACACCATCAAACAACAACCTCTTGACTATCCCAGGTCCTTGGAAAGGATTTGATAGGTGAATAAAAATGCCAAATCCAGTCCAAACATCTGTCTCACTGGGCGATTCACCCTAATAATAATAAACCAAATGTCTTTAATAACACCAAAATTCTCCACCAACTGACCATTACTTGAGAATTCAAGACCACATCTGGAGGATTTTCAGGTTGAGGAAGAATAGTATACAGCATGTTGCCAAAGAAATATATCATGAATAATAATGTTATTGGCGGCAAGCCACCTAGAAAGCGACCATCTCATGTATACTGGGGAAAGTGCCAGTAACTGCAGCTGTTGAGAGATAAATTTAACATATGCACCAAAAATGGAAGACTACAAAAATCTAAAACAATACTATTCAGCTTGTAGTTTCATGAAGTTTCATTTTGAGTTTTGATATTTGCATTTTACAACTGATAGTATATTCTATATTAAATTACCATATTGGCTATTCCACAGAAATATGATAAATTGCTGTTGTAGCATCAGGGCTGAGCCCACAGTAGAAAGCTCAAAGCTATCAAACCTTTTCTCCCAGAGTATACATGATGCTGTTTTCCTGTTCTGATGTAATTGTTTGGTTGGTACTACAATTACCTCCACTTTTCCAATAGGATGTCTTTATCTGGAATCCTCCCCTTTCATTCCAGCATATGGGAGCTATTGTATCCCACAGTTCAGGCATAGACTTTTGGGTGACAATTAAGTTAAAATAACAAGAGCAAAATTCACTCGTAACATCCTATCAGCTCAGGAAGCAACTAATACTATCCATTTCAAACTATTTTCTCACATTCCCCTAGGTTTACTATTAGCTTACATCCCATTTCAGAACAATGCCTCACTGAGGATTCCTTTCATTGGTTAAGCAATTAGCAAAGGCAGGCATGAGTCATTAATCTTTTGGTTCATGCTCTCCCAAATCTCTAGAGATACACCAAAAGCTGGCATTTATTTTGAGCTCTTTGAAATGTGAAATATTCCTGCAAACTCTGAAGCCCTGAGCCTCAAAATCTAATTACTTCTAGTTGTTTGCATGAATAACTATATATTTCTAACACACTCCCCTACATTGACAAAACCTTTTAAAGATCAAAAGACTACTCCCTCTTCCCTTGAGGGTTGTCCTGGGAAATGTGCATTAACTTTCAATAAAGTCACAGAGTGAAAAGCTATGCACAGCATTCTGGGGGGCTAAATTTGCTTTGTTTTATACTGGAGGTGGTCCCTATCAAAGGTAGCCTTCTCTGATCAAAGGGATCTAAAGAAAATTCTAAGGCCTATTCAGGGGTGTGATTCAACTGGTATAACAACTGGTTCAGTGAGCGTGCACAAAGTGCCAAAGCCACCCTCTGCGCACGTGCTCCATGTTTAAAAAAGTTAATACTTACCTTCAACTGCAGCTGAAGAAAACAGTTGAGGCATGGCAAAATGTTCTGCCAGATGAATCAGCTGTGTTCTAACAAAAAGACAGTAAAGAGCAAGGGTGGCGGGCAAGTTCACATTCTTGTTGGAATGAACCGGTTCAGAGCCAGCTGATCATTGGAACAAGGGGTTCCGCTGAACTGATCCGAACTGGGAGAATCCCACCTCTGGACCTATTGTAGAGCTCTATAGTTCCTTCCCTAGTATGCATGATACACATTCAAGACTGTAACCTATTGGGCTACATCTAAAACTCACGTCCTTTGAAATTCACAGAGCTCTACAATTTCTCACTTGGGAAACAATTATTTATAATGATTTGCCTTGTTAAAAAAATATGTAGAGAGATGGGATTATTAAATGGGCTGAAGATATTGGTA